TTTTTTGTCCCTTAAGCCTTTAACTGCCAACTAATACTATTAAAGGCTAATCCTCCGCTAGTGTCGGACATCACTGTCAGACACGGCATCCAATGTGTCAAGTGACTCGCGGTCGAACAAGCCACCAATTAGACATCAGCAATTTTACTCGACGAGTACCGTCATTATAGACACAATTAAACTGTCAAACACCGCGAGGACACCGGTGACCGCAACCTATTGTTCTATAATTGTGTCTATAATGACGGTATTCGACGAGTTAAAGAACAATAGGTTGCGGGCACCGGTGTCCTCGCGGTGTTTGACAATTTAAAGGACAATTTAAAGTCAAAGCATTTGTATTCGGACCGAGGACCTCAGGGCTAATGTGTAACTGAGGCAATGTATTGTGGAACTGATTGGAAAAGAGTAACCTATGGAGTATCTTGCTCGTTCTTCTACATAGGAATCTACACCTTGGAATGAGCAAATAGCTTCGCTTTTAAATTTCTATTGCTGACATTGACAAGTGCCTTCCTGGTCTAATTGAAATAAATGATTTTGACTTTGACTTTGACTTTAATCTTGTAGGAAATCAGTTGTATTGTCACCTCCCGAGAGGAATACGTCGAGTTACAAGTCACCCTGTATATATCACTAGTTCTAATAAGAAGTATAACTAAGACGCTAGTTCTTTATACTTGACTAGCTTCTGCCCGCGACTTCGTACGCTCAATCCCGTTTTCTCTCGTTCCCGTAGGATTTTCAGGATTTTTTAATCCATACTAATATTATAAATGGGAAAGTAACTCTGTTTGTCTGTCTGGCTGTCTGTTACTCTTCCACGCCTAAACGGCTGAACGGATTTTGATGAAATTTCGTATGGTGATAGATGATAAATCAAAGGCAAAGCATTTATTTCAATTAAACCATAATTTGGTACTTTTGAAACGTCAACAAATACAAAATAAATAATAGTCTGTCAGTCAGTCCGTAAGTGAAGCTAGGTGAAGCTAGGTGCTCATTCCAGAATGTAAATTCGAATGGAGAAGAACGAGCAAGAAACTCCATTCGTTACTCTTTTTAAAAAAAGTATGTTCTACAATGCCCAACTATGTATGGAGCAAACCCAGAATCGATTTAAATAATTTATGTGTCGTGTAGTTGTCGTGGTGGTCCCGAAGTTTAAAATGCCCGCTTCTCATGCACGAAGCTACGGGTTCGAAACCTACCAACGGCAAGTACCAATGTGACTTTTTCCGAGTTATATGAACTTTCTAATATTATTTAGACACCACTGACAAACGGACAAACATCACCTGGACACCTGAGGAAACCAGGATACTTATGATTTCTAATTGTTTGAAATCGCCAACCCGCAATGAGCAAGCGTGGTGATTAATGATCAAACTTTTTCCATACATCCGTTTCATCACTTATAATCTACATAAGTATAAACTTCTAATCAATACAAATTATACAAGCCCAAACACAAGATAGTTACTATAAACCGTTGAAGAGTTTCCTTAACAATTACACTTCTTCATCATCAGACC